TCCWTCGTTAGAACTCGACTTTCAACAATTCATTTCCCGCAGGCATGAGTTCTTCGTTAAAATGTTGGCCAATCCGTTGTGATTAAGTGTTATATTATATCATTTATCAAACTGTTTTCAGTCATAAGAACTACAACGCAGTCATAACAAAAAATGACGGTCGATGATAAATGATTGACAATTCTTGACAATGATAATGATTATAATTACATCATGCTGATGATAGATCATGATAGATGGAGATGTCTATTTTTAAACCAGACTGTTTTCACTTTTTTTCTTATTTTGTTTATTTCTTTGCTTTTCGATGTCAATGAGCTCAAGGTGAAATTGTATATGCTACCTCAATCGTGTTTGGCAACGAACCAAAATATTTCTGCGTGAGGACACTAAAATCCAAATGATCTAGTCTAAAAGTACATACGAATGACCACGAGGACACACGAGTGTAAAAATAACTAATATTAAGAAAATAAATACTATTTTGATACGTTTTTGGTTTAAAAACCCAGAAAAATTGACCTTTACATTATATTGACGCTAAATGATATCATGCTGAGGTGACGCTTGGAGAGGGCAAACATGAGATTGCTGTCAATTTTGTGACACTCGAATCCCAAGGGTACAGTATTGTATTCCTACTTGGGCAACCTTTGGCTACCTTTCGTAACACCCTATCAATATCGAGAAGAAATGACGGATCACATACCCATCGTGGATTTTAGTGCATTTAGCATCGACAAAGAACCAAGACCGGACGTCAATAGCGCTGAAGTACAGCAGTTGGCCAAAGAGATTTATTCTGCGTTTAGTACAGTKGGTTTTGTGTACCTCAAAAACCACGGGATCTCTGCTCAAGAGGTGAGCTGTTTATGATCAGGTCGTCAGCAAGTCACTGATGACAAGGAAAATGCAGTTAAGGTTACCCCGGACACTATTTTCGTCAAATCTTTCAAAATTTTTAAATTAGTCTGAGCGAATTAAAAGAAGTATATCTACAACTTTGACTAAAGTTTATGCCGATGTATTTTTTTCTAAACTAGTTATAAACAAAAAAACGTTCTGAGGTTCTCTGAAACGTGTTTTACTGCTGACTGCGGCTGTCATCGTAAGTCTTGGCGAATTAATAGTCACGTTATCAAAGCACGACGGGGTCACATAACATCACAAACTTCACATCAAGCGATATAAAGACCAAAGCGATACTTATTCCACTGTATACTTGAAAATATCCTTTGCCAAGGCCTTTGGGATTCACCATTTTGAGAAAACTTACTGAAAATTATTACTATTCGCTGCACAGTCCGCGAAGAAGGTCAAACAACAAGGTCACGTTCGCTGAATATGCTCTCCCACCGTTCTTGTATCGTATTTCTTCCTT